AGAACACATTTCTGTGTGGATTTTATTGGAAAACTTTAATTAAAGGCATAAAAGTTGTAATTTTAAAGTGTCCACGCACTCTCAAGCTAAGGAAATAACTAAACTTTGGCGGCCATTTTCTCACTAATACTACTTCTGAAACCAGGCGACCCCTACCTCCTTCAATCGCCAATACTTCGATTTGTATCCATGATAAAGGAATATTTTCTTTTTCCAAAGCAAGACGAGGCTTTAAGATGATATCTAAAATTCTCAATGCCCAAAAATGGACAAGCGCGTGATTCCACCACAACGTGACACATAGCCTATAAAGTGTTCATTGCTTGCGGAAAAGGCAAAAAGGCTTAAGCTAGATTAACACAAGAGACAGAATGGGAAGGTACAAGTTGGAAACATTCTTGTTATTTAATTACCATTAACCACGCCAGTCATGCTTTACCTAGACCCACAGGTCAAATCTGGTAAAATTACTGAAAGCACTAAACGAGGATACCACATAAAACCAATAGATCATAACGTCAAGCTGCTACCTTATCGGCCTAAACCATTAATAAATTCGGAGATAATTGGAAAAAATAAAACTGTCTCAATGAGTGAAAATGCATTATGGTAGCCCAAAATTTCCAGAGCTAATTAATTTACCGTCCCTCATTAGTACTAATAGTTATTTTCCAATAAAATCCAACATTATGGGATGAGACTGACAAAGGCCATTTCATGACTGTGGCCTCTGACTTAGGCCATTTTGCTAAATGGCTTGAGCCATAATTTTTTTTTTTTCGTTTTTCAATTCAGGATGAATTAGGCCTTTTTGAAAAGAATTCGACTGAAATGGACAGTTAGATCCGAGACTGAGGGTAAGAAACTTGCCCAGCTTTTGGCCTTAGTCTGGTTTAGGCTAAAATGAATGAGAGACGAACTGGCCAAATTACATGGAAAAATCAAAGTCACTTTTGACTCTGGGCAAAAGCATTTTTAAAATAAATTTTCTGTTAAATGGTTTAGAGTATATTAATTTTTATTTTTACGTCTCTGGAACCCACTGGTTCCTCAGTTACATTTTGCCCTAAGTCTGACTTAGGCCCAAAAGGTACGTAGCAGCTTGACGATAAACCATAAGAGGGCGGGTGGGAGGGTGGGGATGAAGCAATATTATTCATAAAATTCTCGATCAATACTCCTTGTTATAAATTATGCAACAGCGTAATGGTCGCGCTGACGGACTGTCTGTAAAGTGTTTTATAGAGTTGTCTTTATGAATGAAATTATTGGAATGGGAGCTACCAGATGGCAACATTACAAAAATGAGGCCAAATAGGCAGGGGTAAATCATGTGGGTGGCTTTCCGGGGTTTTCCGTTGATGAATAACACATTTGCGTAGCAGACATAAAAACAATAAGACTCAGCAATAAAAACTAGTGAAAGACTTAATCTAGATCTAGTTCTCTTTTTTATTAATAAATTGTCGATATGCAAGGTAAGGCGTGTTAATTACAATAGTAAATATGGGGGCATAATATCTATTCTACTTACTGTCCATTTGTGACAAGGCCGAATAGATTATTTTAGAGGACTTTGACAAAAAAAAGACGTTATTCCGTTAAATCCCAGCTGAAGCCCATAAAGCGGTTACC